ATTGAAATTAGCTTTAAAATTCCATTGGAAATGTGGCTTCCTATTGAAATCAATATGCACAATTATTCAGCACGCGGTGTTTCCAGCTGTTTTTAGTTATAAAACCAATCTGGGCAAGGCTCATTTCAGTGTTTCCTCCCTGATTCTAGGAACTATGTTGTTGGGGCTGTTACCCCTGGTAGGGTCTCCCAAGGTAAATTGATCCTAGGTGAGCAGCCAGACAAAGTTGATTCACATAGACCCCCATGACGATTAGCACGAAGGAAGATGTTACCCTGCCTGGACTGGGGAGATCGGGGCCCCACCCTGAAGCCAGGCCTTGGGGGGAGCTCGTCGGCGAGGGTCTGGTAAATGCCAGGGTGCCAGGTTGTGTGAATCTTCCTGTTCTTCTTCCAGAGCGGCTGGTGGTGACGGGTGCAGATGAGCCTGTCTATGCACAAGCTGGAGAGGATGTGACTCTCAGCTGCTCTGTGAACACCACTGTTAATGTGACAGAGCTTCAGGTGGAATGGAAAAAGACAGAAGATGGCATCATGGTGCTTCAGTATAATAAAGGAAAGATACCCGAGAGATACTCTGGAAGAGCTGAATTCTACATTGAGGAAATTCCCAAAGGAAACTTCTCAATGAAACTGAGGAAAGTCAGGTTTGAAGACAAAGGAGAGTTCAAGTGTGACGTCCACTCAGATACTGATTCTAAGAGTACAACAGCCTGGATAGCAGCAGTGGGTGAGTCACCAGGTCACCTACACAAGGTGTCACATACTGTAGGTTAAACCAGACTGAGACTCATGTTTTTACAGGTGAAGATCCACCTGTATGATCTATATGTAAAACTCCTTTAACTGTTAAACACCTTTATTATATTGTCCTTATTTTAACTCCCTCAGGCTTGGTTACCATTTTACTTTTCATTTTGGAGACTGCTTGTAACAATTTCTAATTATTTATTATGTTTTAACCTTATTTTTTGATCACTTTGTTTAACTGACCATTTGCTCATCATGAATATAGCCCTAGTTGCCGGCATGTTAAAAGTCAGCTTAACATAACAATGGGTGAATCACTAGAATGACTGGTTTTAACATGCATCTCAACGTAGTTTTGTGTGATTAAATCTCATGTTAATTCTCCTGAGGGTCAGTGGTTCTCAGAGTAAAGTTTCAGAGTAAACTTTATTGTCATCTCAGCCAAATACAAGTATACAGAGAGATGAAATTGTAGAGCTCAAGGTCCGCAGTGTAACAATATTATGTGTGTGAAAATGAGAATAAAAATTAAATAGGGAAAAAAAACAAAAAATTAAACACATAGCCATATAGGTTAGTGTAAAATGAAGACAAGAAGTGGTAATAATATGTACGTCAATGCAATGTATAGTATTTTTGCAGTATGGGTACATAAATATATATATATTAGTGCTGTCAAATGATAAAAATTTTTAATCAGATTAATCACATTTCATTTTGCATGAGCAAACAGACTCAAGAAAAAAGGGATTATACATGCACTTAACATGTTTATTGAACATCTTGAACATGAGTCGGATGCATTCCATCTGCCACAGAAGTGCAATACCATGGACCCATATCAAAAAGCAAGATTTTTTGCTTAGCCGGACAACTTGTCAGATTTAAGGTACCTCAGTTTAAATGGTCTTTATCTTCGTTCGCTTACAATTAGCACGAACTACTGTAAATCCGACAAATAATCCAACTAATCA